AATATGTGGTAGGTATGAAATTATTGTGTAGTAGGTGTGGTAGGTGTGGTAGGTGTTGAATTATTGTGTGGTAGGTGTGGAATTATTTGTAACCATTGGATTGTAATTGTGGTGGCACAATCTTAGCCATTAATTTAGGAGGTGCCACTAGTATAAATAGGGGTGGAGTCTTTGAGTTTATATCAAGCAAAGTTAAGGTGTTAAATAAGAGCGAAGCTTTTTGCATAAGTTGTGTTCAGCTTACTTCTTTTCTCGTCGGGTATGTGTACATGAGTTATGCATCCAAAAACTCGTAGATGAGAGATGCCAGGCTTCCTTCCACTCCATGCTTCTTGTGGTGTCTTTCCCAACACACTTCTTGTTGGTGATCGGTTAGCCAAATAAACAGCACATGCAACCGCTTCTGCCCAAAACTCCTTCGGCAATTTCTTGCTTTTCAACATGACAAGGAGCATGTTAAAATCAATCGTATGAATATCTTTTCAATATGTTATTATTAATGAGATTAAGATCACTAAAATCAATCGTATTTTCAGAAATTTTATTGAAAAGTTAATTAAAATTGCTCTCCCACCTATATTGAATATCTTTTCTAAGCAAAGTACTTTTTTATTTTCATCTTTGATACACTTTACTTAAGTTAAATTATATTTATTTTTCTCTTATCTTTGATTGGCTAATTTACACATATATGTTTCTCTCTCTTTAGTTTTCAATCTATTATAAAGATCACTAAAAGTAGAATTTTTAGCGTCATAGATTGTTCTCTTATACTCCCTAATTTTTTTAAATTCTCTAAGCTTTTATATTTAAACTAATTTTTATAACATGATTTCTTATATTTTATCTTTTCTTTTATTGCACATTATTATTTCACTACTAACTATTTTTATTTATAAAAAAATTTCTTTTTGACTCTCCAAGTACATCTTTTGTCACCTATTTAATTGTATTGTTATTTTATCCCACATATAAATTGATTCTTCTTGAGCATCCCAAATCCTAAAATATTAAAGTTTACTCATAAAAATAATTGTATGTGTCCTTTAGGTGTTTTCATTTAATTATATGATATTGATTCTTAGTATTCTTTATTTTACAACTCTTCATCTTAAAATCCAAAACTAATAATCGATGTTGAGTACTTCAATTCCGATTTGGAATGAGTTTACAATCTTTACGTTCTTGACGATCTCTTCTTCTCTTAAGAAAACAATCAATTTGTGTTTTATTACATCCATTCTTATAAGTAATGATATGCCAATCTCTTTTCTTGAATAAAGTATTAGTAACGACAAAATCATAAAGCAAAATCTAATATGGGTCTAACTTCTTCATTAATACTCCAAACCGTAGCCACCATGAATATTTATAAAATCTTTTACCACTCTATTGATATTTTCATTTAAATCTTCTTTAATAAATATTCTTTCTTCAAGTGGTATCATTTGAATTAATTATCTAAGGTCAGTCCATAATTTTTCTTTAGAACCTATATCTAAACCTACCTAAGGAGCATAACCACTTATAATATTAAAAATCTTAGTATCAACAACAAACTTAAGGGCTATAATTATATTATTTTTTACCACATTATCTTTAAAACTCTTATCTATAATTATATCTACAACATTTCTAGTGTGACTCCTACCTGAATGCCAAAGTTTAAAACTTAAGATGTCAATCTCCTTAGCATTTTCTCCAACCCATTTAGTATCTTAAATACATAAGATATTTATCTTTCTATGAACCATAATATCAACTAATTATTAAAATTTACCTGTGAGAGGATCTATATTCAAGATCTTATTCCAATATTAGCTTTACACTCATCCATTCTTAATGTAAGAATCTTTGCTTATTTGACATTACACTCGGGATTCAATGTAGCAACTCTTACGCACTTTTCATTGTATTTAGGTCATGCAACGCGTCACTTCTAGGGGACGACCTAACATTTACATAAGGATAAAAAAGAGTAGTGTCATGATTTTCAACGAATTCTACGTTGGTTGTCGACTAGTTAACACATCCCTCCACTTTTCACATACAAGGCTTTGGACCTAGCAATAGAAGTGTTAATCTCTAAAAGCATCCATTAACAAAATATAAGATTAAGTGTTGTGGTTGATTCTCATGTATAAAAGTCTTGTATATTAAAAAAAAGGCTAAAGTGGCTCTAAGTACTTGAGAATTCACAAGCTCTGCCACCATTATATCAAAGTCACTAAGCCATTATTGTGTCAAACCACCATTGTCGCATTGGATCATTGTTGCTTGGTCGACATTGTTATTCTGATACATCATTGTCATCACCTGATCCTCATTACCTGACTCGTTGCACTGGACGCTTGTCATTGAGAATGTGTTATTGTTGGACCACCGTCTCCAGGTTAACATTGGACCAATGTCACCATTGTTGCACCACCAAACATTGACTGATACTATCGTTTGTTGTACGTAAATGCCTTCAAACCATTGTCTCATTACTTACACCACTGAACCTTAGTCTTTATTGTTGGGCCACTGATGCGCTGCTGACACCACCATTGATACCTTTGTAGTCATTATTGCCACACCACCATTGTCGTCGTACTACCTTTCTTGTCAGACTATTCTCACATGGAAAACAATGTCGTTGTCACCATAACCGCCCAATCGATGCCTTCATTCCACCATTGTCGGCTTCCATCATCAATGAACCACCACCATCACTGGATCACCATCATTTGGCCACCGCCTATAGTTCAACCAGCAACCTTGTTATCATCGCTGTCGTCAAACCATTGTCGCATTGCAGACGTCAATTTTATTGAACTACTGTCGTTGGACAAATGATATCACGTAGTCACCAATGACATTAAACCATTGTTGTCTTGCTGAAGTCGTTAGACCACAATCATTTTTGCTAAATCATTGTTGCCTTACCATCACTATCACCAAAACACTATCATGGTAGAGCAGTCTCCTAGCTAGAACACTGCCAATTTCGTCGAACCACAATCTTTTTTGCAGTACTTCACCATCATTGAACTACCATCGCACGGTTAACAGTGCTGCTATAACCACGTTCGTCTGTCCCCCCCATGTTGCTAGGCCACCTTCGCAGGCTGACACCATTCCCATCATCATACCTCTATCACCAAATCACCATTGGATCACTATTCTTGGTCATCGCTACTTCTATAACTACATTATTGTTGCCTAGTCTCGACACAGATTCGGTCGTCAACCTTCCATCATCGTTGTTGGGTCGTTGCCACTTCCCAAAAAAAATTATTCCACTCCTCGAATGAAGTAAATAACTCTCACACTTATAATATTATTTTCTACTATTCATCAACAAGTTTTATCTTGTAACATATTTCTAATGAAATAATTTCAACTATAATATGGCCGGTAATTTTTTTCTATTTCGAGATCTCTATATTTAAACCACTGATGTCCCTAGTGCCATCCATTCTTTATACTACATTTTCGCATAATATTAAGGGGTTAATATATCTCTATCATAAAAAAAAAATTTTCCATATGCAACTCTTGTCCAACATCCAAACTTTCATACTATATTTATAAAACTAATGCTATAAACTTATGCATGCGAGGCTATAATTCACAAATAAAAATGATAGTATCAGTGGCATATTATGATATGATGTCAAAAAATTAAGTGTATATATATATATATATATATATATAATGTAAATGCCGTGATTTTAATTTATTGATTGAAATTAAAATAAACTTAATATATTAACAATACATTGATATGCCTTACGGTGTACTTTTTATGCACATTTTATCATCAAAAAAATAAAAATACTGATTGTTTTCCTATCAGATAGAAAGTTTAAAACATAAACTAAAAATGTAAGGCTTTGATGAAAAACGTTATCCTTCCCATCGAGCCAACAATAAAGTTTTGATTGCGGTAACATTAAAAGAAATGGGAACTGTTTGTCATGCATTTTTTTTCGTTGGGTGAGTGCAATACAAAAATAATGTATTATACGTGATTTTTCTTAGAATTATTTAATTTGTTGTAAAATAAATGAACGATCGAGGGCTACGGCCGGCTGTGGAGAGATGGTGTCAGAGTGCAATCGCTGGCAATGGCGATCGGCAGGGGAGCGGGGGTGGCCGGCGGTGGGAGAGACGGTGGCGGACTGCATGGGCTATCAATTAAGAATAAATGAGATCATTTAGAATTAAAAGTTTTCTTCTTTAAATTGCTAGATTAAATTTCTTACTTTTATGGCACGGGTTATTTTCTTTTAGCGGAATATTTAAATTAAGAATATGTATTATTAAACTACTTAAAATAGATTGTACAAATTATTATGCACCTAAAATAGATTGCAACTACTATTTATTGGAATGAAAGCAAAAAAAAAAAGACATTTATCCTATTCACTCATTGGCGAGGACGGCAGTTCAAGTCGGCGGGCCGAGGCCAACATTAGACAGACAATGATGGAGACCAACAAATTTTCTAGAACCTTTTATATTTATTTATGCTTTTTAAATTTAATGAAATCCAACAAATTCTGAATTCAGAAAAAAAAAATTGTATTTTAAATACAATATTATTTAACATTAAATTTTAATTTCTTCTAAAAAAATAACTAATTTTTTTTAAAAATTCATCATTGCACTCCTAGTGATGCCGGCCAAACACCTGAATAAATCAAAACATCTAAATTTATTTATGCTTTAAATAATATTATATTTTATTTATATTATTATCATTTATGGGCATTTACGGATTTACCTGATTTATGTTTCCTTGATCCAAACTAAAATAAGAAAATGTCTTTTTTTTTTTTTTTTAATGAGTAAAATAAAATATTTAGTTAAGAAACTCCTCAAAGCTTATCCACTCCCTCTCGCCCAATCTGCATGCCTTCCACGTCGCATCACGCGCCCCACAACATCTGCCCGTGTCAACATTTAGAGCAAGCTACGCTTATAAAATCCTGCAAGTGGCTCTTTGCATTTACATAAAATAAGACAAAATCAATAAATAAAAAAATTTTATTTATTTATTGCCGATATACCTTCCCCTCCAACCTGCATCCAGAGTTGTGCAAAAATGAAGAAGTTCTCAACAATTCAGAGCCAGTTGTCTCCCGGCCTGGCGAAAATAACACTGCCTTCTTCTTCACTTTTTCGCAGAGCTTCAGCGCAAGAGGTAAATATATTGCCAATACTTGAATCTCTAACCTGTTCTTAATTTGATCTCTTTGGGGAGACTGGATTCTAGAGAGACTGCTGCCTTTGGGGCGGCACTGTTGTGTGGTGCAGTGCTGCACAATAGGTTTTTTTTTCTTTTTTGATAAAATTTAGTTTTCTGTTTTTTTAAAGAAATTGCTGTCAAAAGTTGTGGTTTGTCATCATCAGCTCAAAAGTTACAATCTGATTTTTTGCAAAAATAAATTTCTAAATTTACAAATATATTGTACCCAATTCTTATGCATTTACTTATCTCACAACGAAATTTTCATTTTTACAAGCTAGTCATATTTTTCTATATTTGAAATGATGTGTGAAAAGATAGATTACACTTTTTTGGGGGTGCTTTGGATGTAAAAAGATTTAGATCATGCTGTAATTGTTTTCTGCAACTACCCCAAACAGATCCTTGGCTTACAATTTGTTATATCAGTTTATTAAAATTTGGAGTAAATCCTTACATATCTAACTGTTTTCTGGTTTTAATATGTTTAATAATTCAGATCTTCTGATAAATCTTGATTTAATCTTTCCCTTAACTGAATTTAATTGATCGAAAAATTGTTCCTTTGTCAAATTTAATGAACTTAATGTGTTATCTTCAACATATACTCTTGTTCCCAGCTGATAATTGATTACATGAAAGAAATTAATATAGAAATTAGTTTAACGACAGTTAATAATTGTATTGAATTGTTTACAGTTTTCGACACAACATAAGGAAAGTTCTGAGATTTTGGGGAAGGCGAGGTCGGATGCGGAAGAATTTGTTAGGCAGGCGAAAGAGAAGGCTGCATCGCTGAAGGAGACTGCAGGTGAAGTGATTGAGGATGCGAAGGAGTCTGTTAGTCGGGGGGACGAAGCTGGTAAAGAGAAGCTTAAGGGGAAGGAAGAAAATGTGAATCGTGATTGAGTTTTTTTTTTTTTTTCTTTTTTTGCTGCATTTTCATATGAATAAAATTGTTTTGAACGAAATTACAATGCTTACCTTTGGATTTTAATTCCTTAAAAAGATTTTTTTTTTAATTTTTTTGGGCTATTTCTTTTGTTTAAAATAACAATTTTGATTTTGCAAGTTATTAGAAATTTCGCTTTGTTAAAAAAGAAATTAACTCATAATTTTCGAGATGAACTAAAAATTTAGGGGCATTTAAGTACATCGGATGCAATTCGTAGGTATTTATAAAACAGACACCTAAACTGTTATATTTACAAATGTATCACTTAAAATCTTTGTAATTTTTTTCACTTACATATTCGATTTGCGAAGGGATTTAGTGGGGGCATTTAAGTACGTAGCATACAATTCTTATGTATTTGCATAACAAATCTAAACTTCAATATTTACATGAGAATTGGGAAGATTATTCAATCAGGATTCCTAACGTAAAGATGTGTTCGGAGTCCACTGATATGCGGACACGTGATTTCAAGGAAAAACTCGCGTTTTCCTATGTTCCTGCCCGGTAAAACAGGAGAATATTCCTCATGTGTTATTCTGCATTATTCAGATGTTATTGTGACATTATTGATGTGTTATTTTGTTATTTTAATATCGGGAATATTCTCAGAACATAATATCACATGAATATTGCCACAATATCACCTGAATAATACGGAATAACTTGGGAGAACATTCCCTTGCGCTTAAGCAATTTTTTTTTTATTTTTCTGTCACCGCTACATGGCGGCATTTTATTACTCCGAACGTATCTTCACGTCTGGAGCTCCAGATGTAATATTTGTTCTAAGAATTGTGAGCTACCCCGTCTTTTGAATAAGATGTAGTTGTAAGTTGTGAGTCAGCCGAAAGAACTCATTGTGTCCAATTTTATAATTCGTGTTCAAGTACATTAACTTTTTTATCTAGTTGAGCTTAGCTCATGCTCCACCCAAAAAAAAAAAAAGTGGGGAAATTACATATAGATCACCTAAAACTTGTTATTTACGAATCAATTATTCTCATTCATTCATTTTTCAAATTATGGCTTAGATATCAAAATTCATGATAAAATCCTAATCCCTCTTTTACAATTTTCGTCAAATTCTCAATAGTTTGGTTGTGTCGCTCTGATTAATTTATAAATATCAACATATTTTATGGTCTATGTAATTATTCCAAAATAAATAAATAAAAAATTACAATTAATCAAAAAAATTTGAAAAGCAATAGCATATTTTACAGGATTAGTATTTAATGATAGTGTTGGAATTATCAATAGCCTTTTCCAAATAAGTTATGATAGCTAGCTCGCTTAGCCTTCCTGAAAATTTCTAGCTCATAAATACGTGTATAAAAATAGAAATCATGAGATTGACATCCATAATGCCCTTAAAAGTCATTGTCATCAACCCTTGGTTTCCATTATTCTAAAGAATATATGTCACGAGAGTAAAATGACAGAGAGGTCTACATCAATGATAGAAGTTGATTGAGATTTATGTATTAACCTAAGAAGTAAATTGTCATGCATATTATTAATAATTTAAAAATTATTTCTAAAACCCTAGTTATTAATTGAGCTTCGGCCTTAACATTTTTAAGTTGTAAGACTTTTTGAAAAAGACGTATTTCAGTATCATTGAAAGTTTGGGGATTAATTTGACATTTTTATAACTGCAACTAAAAAATAAACCCTTACGAAATATTATACTGCCAATTGACATTTTCTTAAAATATTTAACAATATTAATTAAAATCACTTCAATACCAAAAGCCATATAAATTTATTTTTAATTAATCGAACTTGATAACACAAATTGTCATTAATGTCAAGATTAGTTAATATATGTTGATAGAAAATAAATAAAGGTTAGATCTAATTTAATATATAATTAAATAAGAAAAATAATTAACCAAAAAGTAAGCCAGCCTAATTAAAGACCAACAAATTTATAAAAATATTTTACATATTTGGAGATGTATTTTGGTTAATTTCGACCCAGTCCTTATATATTCATCTTATTTCATGGGATCTTCTTAGTGAATATAGATAATCTTTATGCACTCTTTAGTATGTAATATTATCCTTTTTATAAGAAACAAAATAAATCTATTTGGAAATTAAGTCTCTTTTTAATGAGGTTTAGGGTCTGTTTGGGGTAGCTTATTTGGTGTGGTGGTGTTCTGAAAATGAGTCTGAGCTGTTTGGGTAAATTGCATTTTGACAGCTTATGCGTTTTCAAAACCCTGAAAACAATGTTTTCACACCGCACATGTCTAGGTGCTCTGACAGTTTTCTGGCTGCGGTCTAGCTTTTCCAAAAAAAATAAAAATTTGTAATAGCTACCGCATCTAGCTTATCAACTGATTATTATTTTTAATCAACTTATCAATAGATTATTCAATAAGCTGCAGCTGCCTGAAACAGACCCTTAGATAAACCTGTTTTTTTTTCCTCTCCTTGCCGCCTAGGAATGACTTTATAGACCTTTATACAGTGTTTGATGGATCATTTCTTTTCTTCATCGGCCCAGAGCTAACTCAGTCATATTACGTCCAATACTTTTGATGGGCCAGAAGCTAAGGCCCAACTATTAGTAACTTTTAAATTGGGCTTGTTCCAGCCTAACGGGAAAATTTCGTACCCAAAACTAATCCTCATATGAAGCTCGATCACAACAATCCAATAAATTTTTAAACAATATAATTTCAGAATAAATATAAATTATAAATTGTGGAAAATGATTTTTAGAAAAATTAATAAAATTAGAGAACAATATCTAATATTAGATTAGTCGGCATATGCATTATTAACGAGCTTTATTTTAATAAAGTGGATTAAAATTACAGGCTTTCATTTTCAAAATCTTTGGGCTTCTTCGCTGAAACTTAACCACTTACCGGGCTTCACTGCTAGGCCTAATTTACTTTCATATTTGATGTAATATTAAAAAAAAATATTTACATTTATAACTTAAATCACGCAATTCTTACCTATTTGCTTATATAACATCTTCACTTTTCTATTTTCACACATAACATGTAAATCTATTAATATTACATCAAAAGCATCCCTATTACTATTTTTTAAAATTGAAACACCCTCTCATGCATAATTTATGACATCAAAATATTATAAGCATAAATATTAATTTTTAAGTATTAGATACATAATTACATATAAATTATTTGATATTTATGTAAATTTTTATTTAATTTTATGCATCAAGATTCACTATTAGAATAATAAATTTTCATATTACAAGGAAGGACATGATAAAGTTTGAGTTCCGCTAGCTTCTTTTTAAAAAACATTTACAGAAGACCATTTCGACGGTTTTGGCTCTTCGGTCGAAGGTGGAAAAAGTAGCGTGGCGCGACACTGTGCTTCGCGAGAGATCACGAGAAGAGGACGGGAGGGGAAGCAAGACGAGGATCTAGGGCAGAGATCGGCTTCGCGAGGCGCGGCAGAAGAGGCAGAAGAGGAAACATCGCCCTAAACGTGATCCTTAACGCGGGCCGTGGGGTCGATCCCACTGCCGGTTTTTCGCCAAATTTGCAGCCGCGGCGAGCGGGTCGCCGAAACAAACGAAAAAATTGCTCGCGAATTCGCGGCACGGTGCAGCGCCGCATGGATACCGCTGAACCAAACAGGCCCTTACATACCAGTATATCTAACACCTAACATTTGATATTTACTTCTATAACACACTATTAATCTATAATATCAAATGTGCAAAATATTATTAATACTAATTTTCTTAAAAGTGAAGTATACATGTTCGTGTTTAGGTATAAAACACCAATTTATGATAAGCCAAAATATAAAATTTTAGACATTTCATATGTGAATTGATGGAATTTGTGCAGTGTGTTTGTAAATTTCCCTCATTCATATCAAATATCACACAAATTTCTACTTTTATTCTATACATTCTATCACTGAAAGGTCTTACATGATAAATTAATACTATTTTGTTGATTTTTATTTATTTATTTCAATAGACATTAAATCACCGACAATAAACTTTCCTAATCTACACGTTAACAAGTACATGTCTTCAATAAACAATAAAAGAAATAAATATTTACATAAATACCATTGAATTCTTGTGTTTTACATATCTAGCACCTTACTTTGAATTTTATATATGTATCTCCTCATCTTATAAATATGAAAGTTTTTTTTTTTTTTTACTTTTGAAAATTAATATAATAGTATTTATGATGTGATATGAAAGTTTTGAATGATATAAAAAGAATGCAAAATTGAAATGTTATATATGTAAATATATAAGAATTGGGCGGTATGTATGTAAATGCTCTTAGAAGAAAATATAAATGGAATGGTACAGGAGTTGGCCACCTGTAGCGCAATAAATATAATTGTCAACTTTTTATCAAACTTAGTACCAAAACATAATGGAAATTATGAAAATGTACTCCATGCAATAGTTAATGTGTGGCATTATAATAATTGCTTCTGAGATGGATCTGAATCGTGGCAAAAGGTAGCAATAATGGAAGCTTTATTATGCAGACCCATCTAAATTTTACCTAATCCAACTGCGCCTTTTTCTGGGTTTAATTAAGGAGTAATTACATAGAGACAACTTGAAATATTGATATTTACAAATGAAGCATTCAAATAATTTTTTTGTACTAAAGAACCAATATATTTACTCTTTTCATCATCAAAACGATCGAGAAATTGATCAAAATGAAAAGTTATGGGTTGGAATTTGCCATAAATTTGGATTTTTTAGTTAGAATATGGAAATGGATGAAAGAGAGTGGTTAATTTATAAATAGCATGTTTCCCTTTAATTAATTATTCACATGGAAATTAGAGCGAAGAAAAATAAGAATCGACACGAATCCAGAAGAACACAAGGATTTAATGAGGTTCGGCAAAGATGCCTACATCATCGGGAGCAGAGTGACGGTTTTCTCTTCAATTCCAGAAAAAGAATAAAAAATACAGAATAGAATGAA